ATGGCAATTTAACTTTTAGCCCACATCCTAATTTGTCCTGTTTGTTGTGTTCCCATTTCATAACACAGCTATCCTTCAAATGGGTTGATTACTAACCAAGGCACAGAGCTGAAAAGTAGGGGTCAACTATAGCGTAAGTGACTTCTCTTAACATGGAGTTATAAACAGCAAATGGAGCCCCTCGAACCCTAATAGAATTGTGGGGGTGTGTGGTGCACCCACTCTGGCATGAGGATCCTGCTTACAATATGAGGGAGTGGAAGAGGCTTGCTCTTGCTCCTCTTTTGCTCTGACTGCTTTTGCTGTTTTCCACTGCCAGGAACTCTTGGCCTCTGCCATGTGGCATTCTCAGCTGCCCCATGGCAGCTGAGAATGGACTGACAGCTCCACAAACTGGGAGATAAATTCTTCCTTCCTTCCTTCATTCTGGGCATTAGGTTTTCTGTCTCAGCCATAAGAGAAAAGTAACCAAGACAAGCGCTACTGGACACATGCCTGCTATTTGTGACCTGCAGAAAATTGCAATGAACTCCTATCCTTTCCTTTCATTGCCCTAAGAGACCTTACCTCCCACAGCCTGGCTCTGGGTGTTTGTCAGTCTTTCAGCAACTTACTCCAATTCCCCAGAATGCACTGTTAGTTGTCTACTGCGTTCTGTGTTCATACTTCTTACAAGGGCCTGGTTTAGGGGCCAAAACTGTTGGGTGATGAAAGACTGAGCATCCCGCTCCTGCTTACTGCTCTAGGAGAGCATGTCCCACATGTGATTCTCTGCAGACATGGACCCATCCCAAATGCATGTCTGTACCAGACATTCTGCAGCCATTTCATTCCCTCTGTGTGTCCTCCTACAAGCTTGTAGCATCTGGAGGAGAAGATGTCTGTCTGATTTAGGGAATAAATATTTCTCTATTTAGTGCCTGAAGTCCCCTGAAGAGGAAAGCAATGCTCAAAGCTGTGAAGCACTGGTCTATACCTGCGTCTTCCTATTATACTTCTGTGTACTCTGACCTGAATATCAGGACTAGATCAAGAGGGCGGGGGTCTCTAACATTGCTCAGGGCTGGGATGGCCTTTCCTGTCTACTCACATCAGTCTAGAAGAATGGCACCAGGATTGGCATCTACCCAGTGTTAATGGTAGCAGCAGGCAGCCCAAGGATTTCAGGCATTGGCTACCATAGTATC